CGGCCCTGACTCTTGCATGAAGTCAGCCAGCGTAGGAAACATGTCCACGCATCCTTTCTCCACACGAGTGGCCCATAGATCCAGCTTTCTCCGGAACGAGGACACTTGCTCAAATGCCGAAAACACATCGCAGTCTCTGCCCTGCAATGATGTATTAAGCGTGTTGAGGCGTTCAAATATGTCCGACAAATAAGCTAACCTTGCGATCCAGCTCGAATCACTCATGTGCTGCGCCAGTGGGGATTGAACATTTGACAGAAAAAGTAGTACTTCCTCACGCAAATCAAAAAGTCGTGATAGAACTCTGCCCCGAGACAGCCAGCGGACTTCGTTGTGCAGAAGCAGCTGTTTGTAATGCGCTCCCAATTAATCGCATGAAATGTGGAAAAGACGAGCATTTAGAAGTCGTGCTTTTATCAGGTTGACAATTTTCACAGCTTCGTCGAGGACACTCCGAAGATCATTTGGCATCTTCTTGGCAGCTAAGGCTGGCCGCACACTAGACAATTTTCAAATCTTAAACGATTTTAAAACAATGGGAGGCCACAGACATGAAGACAGTTCAACCGATTTTTAGCCTTATAATCCTCTGAATGCACACACTAGACGATTCGACCAGACCACGAGACCACACACTTGTTGACACACACTTGTTGATTGTAGGAACGATTTCACAGTGACACGTGGTCTCACGGACACTCGCGAGATCAAACATGACTAGAGAAGAAAAACAATTAGAGGACAATCAACGTTGTCAGCTGGCTTTCCTGGCACGCGTTCTGTTTCACAGTGAAAAACAAAGTATAAAAAAAGAATATGGGTGATGTTCTCTGCTTGTGTGTTTACCTTGTGGCATGTTTGTGGCTGCCAAGTTTCAGCTATAGAAGCACGCAACATCCGGCATGTTTGATATTTACGATTTGAGTTCGGGGATGCTCCGTCTCGATCGGGAGCAGATAAATAATTGTAATGACACCACACAATAGAGGATTTCTTGGACAAAAAATCGTTTGCGACAAGCCGCGAATCAGGCCACACCCCCCGATCGTTTGAGGATGCAAATCGGCCTTAAAATTGGCCTTAAAATCGTCTAGTGTGCGGCCAGCCTAAGGCTTGTCTATGGATTGTGCAGTGGGTCCACACGGCTCTCTGAGCTACCTCTTTAATCCTCGATATGAGACCACTGTGGTGGCCCGTCATTGATTTTGCCCCATCACTGCATATGCCACAGCAGCGTTCCCAGTCTGTATCATTCTTTCTCACAAATTTGTTGAAAATATGTTCCCCTGTTGTGTGGGTGGGCAAAGAACTACTAAATAGAAACTCTTCTTGAATGTCCATATTTTTCACGTACCGCACATATGTTAACAGCTGGCCACATTGGTGGATTTGTCAATCTGGAGTGCAGAAAATGGGCTGTGTCTGACTCTGTCTAAAACTTGCTCCTTTACATCCTGTGCCATGTCTGAGATGCGCCGACTTATTGTGTTGTCAGAGAGTGGAACAGAATCGATCTTAGAAGCCGCTGCCTCTCCTAGCATCACGGAACACAGGACTTTTGCTACCGGCAGAATTAACGTCTCTCCAGTGATATGTGCTTTGCCTGCCTTGGCAATACGCAATGCAACACGATAAGAAGCTTCAGTGGCCTTTCCATTTAATTTGACAAAATCTTCCACAATTTTTTTCTGACCTTGAAAGGTTTGAAGTTTTCTCTGGAAAAATTCTGGAGGTTTTCCTGCTACCTCAACATGCTTGGTTTCAAGGTGTCGCCGAAGTTTTGTGGGTCTCATGCTATCATTATCCAAAATATCTTGACAAACCACACAAAAAGGTCATGGTTCATCAGCTGGTCCTGTTCACGTAAATCCTAAACTCAAATACTGATCATCATATCGTCGTCTTTTGGGTTTAAGCCCTGAAGTTGAAGGCTTTGAATCGGGGGGTCTCAGAAACCGCTCCATTGTATTAATAGGCATATACCTGTATTGGCGGGCTTGCTAAACAGCAGTGAATTCACAGCTACGGCCTTCTGGGTGAAAAACGTTTCTCATATTTTTTACTTATCATTTTTTAGTATCGTTTAAATAAAAACATTTAAATATAATAAAAAATACATATAATAATTAAACTCAATAATTATATTTTCAATTTATTATAATTTTTTCCCGCACCTCCCCTGACATGCTCTGGCGTCCCCCTGGGGAGGCGCTCCCCACACTTTGAAAACCCCTGGAATAGAGACTATATGTTATCTCAAAAGAGATCAATAAAATGCTGTTTTATTTTAAAATGTACAGTACTATAATTATATTTAATTATGTCTGGAAACTTATGGCTGGCACCATCACCTTCAGTAACCACGACTGAGGTGAGACCCTTGAGAAAGGCACCGAACCCCCGACTGCTCCCCGGGCGCTGCTGCAAAAAATGGCTGGCCACTGCTCCAGATGTGTCCACGATGTGTGTGTGTTCACTGCAGTCACACCGTGAACACACACGTCAGCACACGTTTTTTTTCTGTTTAACACTGTAAAGCTGCTTTGACACTTCATAAGGGACATAGGCACTTAAGCATATGTCCAAAAGGGAATTCATGATATCTGAAACAACAATTTTTACTAGTGAAAATTAATTTTTAACATGTAAGAATTAAGTTACAGATATCAAGAAGAATGTTTATTACTTTATTATTATTTATTCATTTTTGATATCATAAACGTATTTCTGCGAGTGATGATGCCATTTTTGATGTTGAAATACATTTTGTTTAATCAGGAGTATCGTTTGTCATAACATTTGTGGAGGCACGTCCGGGATTGGAATAGTTGTGTGTATTGTAGGGATTGGTTGTTGGTTGATGTGTTTGCTTGATGTTTTCATAGTTGTGGTAAAGTAGGATTTATGCTAGGCATTGCGTGACATATATTTGTGTTATTAGACGATTGTTGTGTCACTACCGAGTGTGTGCGGTTTAACATTTGAGTTGGGTGGCATTGCGTTTTTCGTAGAGGTGGAAAGAGTACGAAAACATTCTACTCAAGTAAAAGTACCATTACAATAAAGGGGTCATATGATAAAAAGAACATTATTTTGTGTATTTGGTGTAATGAAATGTGTTTATGTGGTTTATGATGCAGATTTTCATGATGCAGTCTGTGTATTTTTCCGAAGCATTTGAGAGAATTGCTGTTGAAAGAGATTGGCCACAATCTGAGTGGGTGACATTGGTTAGGAGGCAGTTCGCTGATGAAGCTCAAGAAGTGTATGTAGCTCTTGATGCTGTTCAGTGCACTGAGTATGAAACTGTGAAACAGGTCGTTCTGCGGGCATATGAGTTGGTGCCTGAGGCCTAAAGGCAGCAGTTTTGGACAGTTAAAGCCAGGCCAGACCTATGTTGTTTTAGCTAGGCAGCAGGAAATACTCTAATAAATGGTTGAGCAACTGAAACATATTTCTTTCAAGATTTGAAGCAGTTAATGGTACTGGAGCAATTTAAAAATAGTTTACCCAAACATATTGCAATGCATCTGAATGAGCAGGAGATAACTGAAGTTTGTGCAGCAGCAGAAATGGCAGATAATTATGTCTTAGTGCATCAGGAGCCCTGGGTAGCAGAGAAGAAACTGGGTCCTCCAAGGCAGTTTGAAGAAAGGTTTAAAGAAGAGTGGCTTGATTAAGTGGTGGAAATAGCGGATGATGGGCACAGAACGGTAACAAAAGTCAGAGACATTTACAATTAGCCTACACACAGGTGTAGTAGTGTGCAAACTCTACTACACGGGGATGTTTAGATAACTATATAAGAATTCACATGTTCATGTTTTTTGAAAATATTTATAATATTAATATTATATTATATTATAATAAATAATTGACCTCAAAAAGGGAATTCATGAGCAATAATTGCTCCATTTCTTCATATGACATTGAATGTAACTAAACTAAAATGTGCATCATACATCAAGGGTCAAATCAAATATAAATAGCACATTAAAGTTAAAAGTTACACACTTTTTTGTGTGCACATTGTATAGGTCTGGTATAAAGTATGTTTTAGCTCAGGTGACCGAAATGTCCGCCCAATAGAGAAATGTTTTGCTCAGCAAGAAAAAAAAAATAGAGGTAACTTTGCTAGCAGAGTATTTCATGCACTTCAGGAATGGCTTGAAAACTCTTTCCCTGTAGATTCTGTTTCTCGATGTGTCCCTCAGAGTTCTGTTCTTGGCCCACTGCTCTTTTATTTCTTATGTTGCAAACACATGCTTAGTCACATTATTCACTGGCATAGACTCCCTTTAACTTTAATTGCTTATACACTACTATATTAGTTCCAAACCCCCTTCCCCACAAGATCCTCATCTGCCTGTATTAAACACCCTGTCAGATCAATAAAAAAAAGACTTTTAATTAGTTATGAATCAACATTTATTGGTTATAATAACTGTATGTACACCAATGGTACAACACATATTGATATGCATGAATACACTTTTATTTCACAGCTATGAAACAGGAAATCATTTATTTTACCACTTTCCTTTTGACTATAGTTTCCTCTCCCTTTACATAAAAAATCACATCACAAAAAGGGTGAGAGAAAAGAGGAGCAGATGGGTTTACGTATAAGATCAATGTAAGAAATGCAGACCATCTATTAATGATGGTTTCAGATGTATTCAGTTAAGTAAGAATAATAAACATGGGTTATTCTAGAAAAAAATGTTTCACAATTGCCTGTAATTTTTTGTGTGTGTGTCTGTGTGCGTTTTTTAAAAATATATCAGAAACATTGAAAAGAAACATTGGAAGGTCAAGTGCAAGACAGAACTGAGACATGTTTTTACAGATACTGTGGATGTGGCTCAACACAGACTTAATACAGTGTGCTTTACATCATCAAGTATACTCAAATTCACATTCCAGCATATCTTATCATAACTTTAAGATGTTACATATTTTTGATGTACATATAACACAAACATATGTAAGACTATCACATTAAAACAATATTTTATTGTATAACATCTTCAAAAATATAGCCTGAATATTTTGAGATGCTATAAATAACATACAAATATCTTCTTTTTCGAGTCTGATGTTAGATTACATAGAAATGTTGGGACACATAAATGTATGTAGGGAAAAATATCCCAAACATAGATCAGATAGAATAATTGATATGAAATTGCTGAGAGAGCTAGTCTGAATTCAACTCAAGCAAAGTACTACCTTTCTATACTTTTCACTATAGTATTTTATCTTATGCAGCACATAGAGGGTATACATTTCTATAGGATTACAAAAACACTTAATTAAAACTTCATCACATCAATTAAACACCATCTCAATGTTTCTAAAACTGGAAAAAAAAAATGCAATGTTACCTACAATCAGTGGCTTCGCTAGGTTTTCTTGGCCCCCTGTACAGCACATTGGGTCAATATCCCTCGATAGGAATCGTGGACTGTGGTCCCCCTCAGTGGGGGGTAGATTGGGGGGAGGGGGATGAGAGGACGTTGAGGGGCCCCACAGTAGCTCTGGGCCCCATGCACTCTGTCCCGCTGTTCCTCCACTAGTGACGCCCCTGCCTTCAATATGTACACAAAGTGCACGGAGGCACTTTAAAATTCATGCTTTTTTAGAAACTGGTGCAAAAACACTAAATGTCCATGCATCTAACAGTGAGAGAAAACACAAGAGTGGCTCAACGCTCAATGACCAAACAATCTCAACAGTCTGAAACGTCTGCCTTTTGATGGGCAACACTCACAACATCTAAAATTCACATTATGATTCTATGTAATGTGGCAACATGAACTTGTGCTCATATGGCATTTATTCTCTTGGCAAGGGTTATAACACTGGAACATCAAAGAGCTGTTTAGTATTCAAGACATCATAGAGAGACGTCTTAAATGAATTAGACATATTAGGGGTGGAATTCTATTGATATCTTTGTTTAGCTTTGTCAAATACAGGGTAATGTTTAAAATAATCATCAAACAAATACACAAATTAAAAAAATTAAAAAGGCAAAAAACAAACAATGTTTAGAATCCTGTGATCAAAGATCACACACGGGGAAGAAGTGTGCTCGTCTGAATGTATCACTCATTTGAAAGAAAAAGTACTTTTTTTTTGTCTGAGTCTCTGATTGGCAGAGTGAGGTATGTGGATGTGCATGTTGATTTGTCAGCCTGACAGGAAGTGATGGAAAGTTGGCCTATGAGTGTTTTGCAGCATGGTGGGGCTAAGAAACAGTCATTTGTAATATGAGGGAAAGATGCTGTCAGAGATGAATAAGAGGATAGTAAATCCAGAGGTAGCATATTGGATCAGCTCAGTTATAAAATCCTCCTCTTTATTATGATTTAACCCTTCCATTGAAAAACTACTTTGCTTCATAGTTAGTTTAGTTGTGATTTTCTAAAGCTCAAAAGAAAAACTGCTTAAAAATAGTTATAATAGCCTTGGGGCAATGTCTCTCTGAGGTAAGAACTTCAGCTCATTTAAAATAGATGTCCAAAAAGACAAAAAAAAAAAGACACTAGTAGTGAAAGAAATGAAGGCATTAGGTTAAAACTGTGTAAACCTACTTGGATTATAAAAACAGGTAAACAGTTCTCTCCAGCAGGCTAACTGGGCCTTAATACAAATGATCTCTGTCTGCATTAGCAATATATATAATTTTTTTTTTTCCCTGACAAAATTTTTCCTGGAAAAAAAATGAGTATATATTTTATATGCCTGAGTATACCTCTATATCTTACCAGTGGAAGGAAAAATAGGCTAAATTTAGAGCAATTGTAGAATACAAATTGAATATATACAGTATGTGGGCAAAGGCATTTATCTAATTTAGAAGGGTTGTGCGCTCTCAACATACTGTACATGTTCATAATCAAAATGGAGTTGTTAATAATGCCAGTCCAGGTTTAGCACACCACACCAAATCATATAAAAATAGGCATGTTATTTTAAAAGATGCACTTCTGGAATCTCAAAAGATGATGATTTTTAACACTGAAGCCATCAGCTGTATGTTCACTGTATGACTGACATGTGTTCAGGTGCTGTTTTGGTTGTACAACATAAATAGACAATTTGTGCTTTATAATGAACTAAACGTAAGGCATGCATTGCATATTTCAGTACTTCTGAATGACGCAAAGAGCTCATGTAAGACCTGGAATGGTAAATATAATGGCCTGAATTTGCCTGAAAGGTTTTTGTGCTATCGTGCCACTGATTCACCAACATACATATGAGAAACACCCTATCTTCCGTTTCCTTGACAGAATAGAGAAAAAACCCCACTCCAGTGAGCACTGTGATAAAAGGAGCTCCAGAGGAGGACGGTCTCCAAATAAACGCGACTTGTGCTTTACCTTCCATCTCTGTGCAGTCGCCTCCGTCCCTACTTTTGTATCCTAGCAACACTAGATTACCCTTTTGAGAAGTGGTTGTGAGATTTGTTCGGACCAAGAGGTGTTACGGTGTCGTGCAAGGTAGTTCAGCTGTCATAGTGTAAGGCGAAGGAACTAGAGGCAGACGAGCAGGTTTCTGTCATGTTCTCATATAAGCAGTGGGCGATGGCTCTGTAAGAAGCTTTGTTATCTGTCTGCTCTCCCTCTGAAAAATTCACATTTTTCACCCCTTTTCAAAATACATATGTTTGGAAGTTTATGTATATATTTATTAGCATCACAAATAATTGCTGTAACTGCCTCAATAACATTATGTCAGCTGCATGTGTGAGCTTTTGGCCTCATATTCTTGTGTTACATGAGACAATATAATATTGTTAAACATGTTAGAAAAGAATAGAAACCATAGAAATAAACTTTCACATTTTTCACCCCTTTTCAAAATACATATGTTTGGAAGTTTATGTATATATTTATTAGCATCACAAATAATTGCTGTAACTGCCTCAATAACATTATGTCAGCTGCATGTGTGAGCTTTTGGCCTCATATTCTTGTGTTACATGAGACAGTATAATATTGTTAAACATGTTAGAAAAGAATAGAAACCATAGAAATAAACCACAAAACCCATTTGTTCTATGTGCATGAATATAGGTTGCTTTTTTCTCTCTCTCTCTTGGGGTGCCGGGGTCTGTGTGCTTGCATTAATTGTTTTTCCAAGGTTCTTCCTCAACGAGTGTGTACTCCGCAGTTGAGCCATTTGTGGCTGCCAAGGTTACCTGAAAGAGTTATCGACAGATTTGAGGTCATATCCATGTGAATGTTCAACAGTAAATGTAAGATCTCTCTGGAGCTTTGGAGCAAAGAATTCTGAGACTTTTAGCAAATGTACAAATGTAACAGAAAAGATATTTTGATTTAAAAAATGTAAAGGTAGGATGGATGGCTGTTTTACCTTTCAGTTCTGAAAGTGATCCCAATTCACAATTCATTTACAGCACACTAAGCTTTTAAAAACGACAAACAGTGTAAACTACACTCTCTGGTTACAGCATCCTAGACACCAATATTTTAACAATTCAGAAAAGATCAATCACTGTCAGACCAAGTGAGATGTCGTTTGGGAGATAATGGTTAAGACCATGATTTTTTGGTAGTACTACACAGCACACCATGTGTATACAGTATAATAGCACTGTGTGTTGTTTGCTTTTGTGATCTGAAGGAGAGTTTGGTCCCAGAAGAGACGTGTGACTTCAGGCTTAACAGCCAGATTCTTTTAGATTTAGAACAATTTTTTAACTTTAGGGTTATAGTTATTTTTAGAGGCATCATTCTTGATGTGGATGTTATAAATTAACACTTATAAAATTCACAATCTAACTGCCAGTGCTGATGTCATAATGAATGCCTGTGATCAGTGTTTACTTCAGCAAATGATACCAGCCGGGTCTCCTCTCTTTGCCCCATTCCTCTGACACTCTTCTGCTTTTGACCATTTCATTCAGGAAATATAAATCCAGTTGATTAATTTTTACTATACAACATTGCATAGTGATGAATACTTTTGTTTCTGTCATTTAGAATTCTGTGCTCCAAGATATATAGACCGTGACACTAAAGCCATTTAACCATTTACCTGTATGAGATTTTTCAATGACAAATACACAGACTGCTCTATAACATTCAATTAAATTAAATTGAATTTAAAAATAAATAAAAATAACAAGGTACAACAACAGTACAAGCATTAATGAGTGGTTACTTTGCAAGGCTTCTACAATGGATTGCATTTTTAGATAAACTGGGTTAGTTTTTGTTAAGTTATTGTTTGCATCCAGAGCATGCAAGTACAACAGACAGCAGAAAACAGGAGCAGATTTTCTGTCTATTATGCACCAAGAAAAAAACAAGAACGATATGGGTCTAACTGTCTGTTTTGTAAAATATTCAAAACTAAAAGATGAAGATGTGTCTACTCAGGAGGATGGGTCTTCTCTTTCATTCTTAATTCCCCTGAAAGTTTGTTTAGTCTCAGGCAGTGCTTAATTGCTGATGTTCTCAAACTTGATTATCAGCGAATTTATGTAAACTTAATAACTTAATAATTACTTAAACTGAATCACTCAACAAAGCATCAGTATCATAAATACATCAGAGCTGAATAAAGCCTGTTTTCCACCATCAGGCGAAGGGTAATTGTTGCCAAACCATGCAACAAGATGGTTGCCAGTTGCCATGGTTATGGTTTCTTTTTAAGATTAGGAAGCATGTTACCTCGGTGGCGCAAGAGTTGGTGACGGCATGATACTGTGAATAAACCCTGGAGCGTTTGTGTTGTATGGGATGCTCACATCATGTAGAAAGGGAAAGGTTCCCATACTAGCTATAAAAGACACAATATTTTATTATATGTTTTAATGTGCTAGCTAGTTGATGAAAAAGGCTTGTAGAATAATAGTGTACTATACTATGAACACATTATCACGTCACTGCAGGTTTTACGCAGCATGGTTAGCATTCATATCATGCTCAAGTGGAAATGCAACTGGAACCATTCCACACCATGCTCTGAATATTCGGCCTGCTGGTGGAAAGGTGCTTTCATAGGGTTAGCTTGTAGTTTATTATTAAACTCATGGATCTCAACTGAACTTAAACTGCACATTCTGCACATACTATTTAAATAACTGATGTAGGAAAAAGCTGCTAACTGCAGAGTTAATGGTAAAAATAATAATGAATTATTTGATTTGATGTATATTTTGATGCACTGCAAAACATACAATATTATGTTGCAATATGCTCAAAATATGCTCCAAGAAAAGAAGCAAAGAAATATGAGTACATATGCAATTATACTGTAGCTACCATATATATGTACATACACACATAAACGTTTGTGCATATACATATATGCTAACATGCAAAAGATATCAGAAAAGAGACATGCAGGGATGTATGTAGATGTCTCTATGTCCATTAGCGTGACTTGTACCTTGCAATCATCTAATAAGACAGAATTTTGAGCAGCATAGACGCACTGGTTGGAGTTGTTTTCATGATGGTTTTTGAGGTCATCATAGTAGGACTGGGTCTTGGTCATCATCTCTATGTCATCAGATTTCGCATGTTGGGCGTCCAGAGCATCCAGCTCTGCCTTGGACAGATGGTAGACGATGCCAGCCCCATATGAGTCTCCAACCACATTAACTGAGGTACGGAAACGATCCCTGAGGGGAAAAAAAGATGAAATGCTCTGTTTAGCAGTCACATATTTCCTGAACAAGAGTAGGATAATCTTAAACATGACAGTGACAGCTTCAGGGAAGGCTTTCATTTATCATTTACTAGTCCCAATCTGGATCAAATAAGTCTAGATTCAGAATACTCACAGAAGCCAGTCAACAGCCACTAGCAGACTGATATCTTGAGTAGGAAGTCCAACGGCTGTCAGAATGAGTAACATGGTGACCAGTCCAGCACTGGGGATACTCGCCGCCCCGACACTGGCAAGTGTTGCTGTAAGACTAAATTTTGGGAATGCAAGCACTTATGTTTCATTCATATTTACACATAAAGTAGTAGACAATAGTAGACAATCTTGTCCAGAACAACTTAAAGAAAAGAAAAATATTTTTCTAAAATAACAGCCTACTGTTTAAAAAGGACAAATATGTTCTGAATTTTGCCTAACAAGTTACTGAGCACCTAAGCTTAGACATCGGGTGGCCTCAAAAGGCTGGGCAACAGCCAGTCGATTCTCCAATACACGTTAAAATGTATAATAATAGTCTTGTATTTTTAGAATACAATAAATGTGGTACATCAATTTTGGAAGAACAGTAGTAAAATGAAAATGAAACTGAAATGGACCATCTGTACCAGATGTTGTACAACCACCTGTTGTACTGTATTCAAAATATACATTATGTAATGTCATTATGTAAATGATTACTTGATTATGATTACTTAACAAAATTTTTGTTACATATAAGTGACAAACAACACTGATCACTATGGTAGTCAGCATCATATCTAGTATCTAAGTAAAATGTTTGTGTCACGAATATAACCCTAGTTCCCTATCTGTCGGTCACTACGAGTTATGTTGTGATAACATA